ACACTACCAGATCGATCAAACAGCCGCCTTAGCCAGAACCCTTGAAACCTTCCATTTAGATGTATGCTGTGTCCCCGAAACACGCGTACAAGACCCTACTTCAGTCATCTCCCTCCGTTCTCCAGATCCAGCCTCATCCTCAAGCTTCACTCTCCGGGTGTCAGGCGATTCGGCATCCGAAGCTCGCGGTGTTGCTGCCTTTGGAATTGCGCTAAGTGCCAAGGTTGAGTGCTCGCTTCTTGACTGGATTCCAGTCAGTAGCCGATTGTGCGCCGTACGTCTGGATGGTTCAGTACGCGTCAATAGCTACAGAACGAAGCGTCGAAGCTTGTTCGTCGTATCGGCGTATGCACCGACCGATTGCAGTATACCAGAAATCAAGGATGAATTCTACAAGTACCTCTCTCATCTACTCCAGTGCTCAAGCAACGAACTTAGTAGTCGCCGGGGACTTCAATGCTCAAGTGGGATCCCTGGAGGAATCAGAAAGGCTTCTTGGCGGACCACGGAGGTTGCCTGCTTCGGCTCTGCACGGACCACGAATTGTTCCGGTAAAACTGGAACGTTTCGCACACGAAACGCCATCGACTTACATGGAAACCGCCAATCTCTTCACTGCGCTGGACCCAAATCGACCACATCGCCATCAGTTACCGTTGGAGGGGATCAATTCAAGACTGCCGCTCTAACTGGTCAACAGCTGTGGACACAGACCACGCCTTGTTACGAGCCAATTTCTCCTTACGCCTGGCAAACGACCGAAAAAAAGCCACCGGCGACGTATATCCGTGATATAGTGTCAGTTATTCATGCAAATCGGTCTTCGAAGCGGAGCTCTCCGATCACCTGTCAGTTCAACCGCCAGCCGAAGGACTCAATGAGCACTGGAAGCAAATCAAGGAATCTATGCAAACATCGATAAAAACAAAGTCGGACCCTGCCACAAGCTCAAAACACAAACAACGGATATCGTCGACCTCGGTTGCCCTGCTACACGCCCGCAGAACCATTCCTCCGGATGCCACATACGACACAGCGCGCAAATCCCTTAAACGCCAGCTCATCAAGAGTCTGACGAATGAGCGCGAGAAGTGGTGGGTGGAAAAGTGTAGAGAGGTGGAGAAAGGTGCGGTTATTGGTAATTGTCGTAACCTTTTCCATCTAATTAGAAATATGGGTGCCAGGAAAATAGGCGTGAGATAATTGAGGAATCCGATGGTAAACTAATTCACGGTCAGCAACGCCGTCTTGACCGTTGGGCTGAACACTGCAAGGCTCAGTTCAACTGACTCCCATCGACACCGTATCTTTTATTCTCCGCCTCGACTGGACAAATACTCCCAGTTGATGCTAGTCCTTCATCTGAGATGGAGGTATCTCGGGAAATACGTTATCTCAAAAGACATAGGGCTTCTGGCCCAGAAAGGCTGTTCACATCAGCGTTTCAGGATGGAGGCTCAGCGTTAGTCTTGGAGTTGACAAAACTCCTGGGCTCAATATGGGGAAGAGAGGAGGTTCCAGCTGAATGGTTTGAGTCGGTGATCATACCGATTTACAAGAAACGTGATAGACCCTTTTTTGAAAATCATAGAGGAATTAGTTTATTCAATATTGCCTCTAAACTTCCCGCTGGCATCATACTCCGTCGACTGTCTGCCG